CTGTTTTCAATTGCAAATTCTGGACCACTGTAGGATGAAATTTTTGTACATATGCTTTAAAACAGTACTTTACTCCAGCCCTTAAAGTGTTACTAAACCCAGGACCCTGCATTCACTGCATCTGGTCTCCCACAGTACACAGAACATGGAAGTGCAATTATTTTAGTAAATATAAACTGCTAAATACCTTTTTGCATCAGCAAGTAGTCTTGTGACTCCTATCAGTGTTCAGCTGAGCACTGGTTAAAGCTTGTAGGGGGAGTTTTATTTCTGCTCTAGGAGGATGCAAAACCCCTGACCTCTGTCTGGACAGTGCTGATTGGCCCTGTGCTGATCACATGCACTCTCCCAAGGAAAAAAAAACTAGCAATACACACTAAACTGAGCGTGTGCATGTGGCTACGGGTTCAGTCTGTCTTATCAGGTGGACATTTGAACAAGAGGAGGGGCAGAGAAAACAGGATGAAAAAGCCTTTTTACACAATGCAGAAGATTAACCCCTTAGGTTCCACAGCGAGTATAACAAGTATGCTTTACTGCATATACAGACTGATTTTACTGTTGTGGGTTTAGTAACACTTTAACCTCCCTGGTGGTATTCCTGAGTGTAGCTCGGGGTAAAGTTTCAGTACCACAAGCGGTAACCCCGAGCTACACTCGGGCTTACCATGCAGCACTGCTCCGGGATCTGTTCTTCACTTACCTTGTCCTGTGCTCCCGCGATGTCCCTCCTGCAGTGTCCCCGGCCATCTCCTCCGGCGGATGCCGGCATCTGTTCTCCGGGTTCCGTCCTCTGCGAGCATTGGGACGTTCGGGGGACGGAACTGGTGGGAAATTTGAAAATGACAAAAAGTGACATTCACTAAAATCACATAGTAAAACATTACTGTATCAAACCATTTCACATACATTTTGTCCCGAGTGCTTTGTCCTGTGCCCTGCCTGCATTTTTACTGTTCTTTCTGCCTGGAAACTGGAAAACGTCCATGGCGTCCAAAAAGCGTCCCTTTAGGTCAAAAGCGGTTTTAGACCAGCTAGAGAACAGCGATAGTAAATTTGAACCACTTGCAGAATAGAGTGATAATGATTCGTGGGGAAATTCGTCATCAGACACTGAAAACGATTTTGCGACTTTGCTCAGTGATGACTTGGCGCTATATTTCAAATTTCAGTGTTTTTGGTTTGATTATATTATTGAATTAAATTTATTATTATTATATTATTTTTTTTATGATTATTTATTAAATTATAATTTATAATTTTGTGTTTCAAATTTTAACATACCCGTGATGTTTACTAGACTCTTGTTCGGACAGATTTCAGTGAGTTATTCCTAAAAATGACAGGCCTACAATAAAAAAAATACATATTTCCATGCAAAAAAATTTACAGAAAGCACAGAAATATGGACATAATCAGACCGCTAGGGAGGTTAAAGGAAAATATAGCATATATTCAGAGACCACGTATTTTGGGTTGTTTTTGCAGTTTTTTGGCTTAGATATTATCTTACAATTTGAGTCTTTCATATATTTAGAAGCTTGTTTTTCCACATTTTGCTACTGTATTGCTACTGTAAGAGATTTGTAGATTGGCTACTGGAGGGAGATTTCAGAGGCTCAAAGCAGTTACTTTCTCTCATTCTTTGGCTTTCTTACTCTCTTTCTTAACAAAGGTTGAGATATGACATAAGCCACATGTGGAGTGCATTGATTTCAGTCAGTCAGCTGACACGAGTTACCTTACTAAAGGAATGAAGGCAGTTCACTAAGCAAAGTAAATGTATATTTGCTTATTAAAGTAGTGTTAGTGGGATGCGTGGTTTATTACACACTGGCCACCAAATCTATGGGGTTTATTTACTAAAATTGGAGAGTGTAAAATGTGGTGCAGCTGTGCGTGGTAGCCCATCAGCTTCTTACTTCAGCTTGTTCAAGTCAACCTAGACAATAAAACCTGGAAGCTGATTGGTTTCTATACAGAGCTGCACCAGATTTTGCAGTCTTCAGTTTTAGTAAATTACCCCTAATGGAGTGCCAAACTAAATGATAAGAGTCCAAATTAATTTATTGTTTTTTACTTAAAAACAGCCAGTGGGTTTTGGGGGCTAGAAAACATTCCCCCTTCATCAGGGCTTCATGTAAAATAGGAGACTTGAATAGACTCAAAATAGAACTTTCCTGTGTGAATCTATGTAGGGAAGATAATTGCTGGACTAGGAGGGTCACTAGCTAGCAGTATCTGCATAGCCAATCAAGATAAGATAGTTTCTTATTTTAACTGAAGACCCGATGAAGGGGGGTATTTTCTTGTAACCTGCTGGGTACCCACTGAAGGGTAGTCCTGTCTGTTCTGAGCAGCTTAATTTGAGCCAGTGAACCTAACGTTTTTTTCATCTCACTATTTTGTATGAACTCACATCAAAGACCCAGTGCCTCCTGGATGCATTTTTCGTCATTGGGAACAAAACCTATATGGGCATTTTGGACAAATCTCATTTCAAAACCATGGGCATTATTTAGTGAAAGATTTCCATGGAATTTTGACGTGCCAGCAATTTGTGCAAATCCAGACAAAAGTGCATTTGTGAGGTCAGGTACTGATGGTGTATGAGAATTGCTAGCTCACAGTAGGTGTTCCAATTCACCCTAAGGGTGTTTAGTAGGGTTGAGAGGTCAGAGATGTGTGCAGGCCACTTCATTTATTTCAAACACTAAACATGTCGAACAATATTTTTTATTGATTTGGCTTTTCCATGCTGGAACAAAAAAGGACCCTCCCCAAACTGTTGCCACATGTACAGGGTAAAGTCAACAATTGTTTAAAATGTCTTGAATGCTGTAGTATTAATAGTACCCTTCACTGGAAAAACCTAAACTTTATAATTTGAAGGTGTATCCACATACAATAGCAGTGAGCATTATTGTGCACTGCAACGCACATGCATTGGCTGTTACTGTAAGACTGCATTGGGGAATCACTTAAAATAAATGCCACTGCTCCTCAATGCATTTAGTTACATAGGGTGCTATAGCCTTCCCCATATCTAAGACACCTGGAAACATATGGAAACATAGGGTTAGTTTACTAAAGAAAAAGAAAATGTTCACAATATGATGTTAATTTAGTATAGCGAGTAAGGTTCACTGCAATCATCCAAACCAGTGCATGCAAAATTCCTGATTTTTGTTTTTTTTTTTTGTTTTTTTTTAATTTTCCTTGGACACAATTTGATATTAAGTGAACATATCTTTGCCTTATTTACAAAGCTACAGTATGTGAAAATTCTCTTAACCATCTCTGGGACAAGAAGTAAAGGGAAAGTTACTTGTCTAATGAAGTCCAAAGTCTCCAGAAGGGTTGCAAGTTATTCCCACCATATAGTGAAGAGTACATTTGCCTGGGAGCATCGCCAGCAGCACTTTAGAAAATTTATGAATCACAAAACTGTGAAGTGTGTTTGTGGTTCCATTCCACTTCACTGTATCCAAAACTAAAAAAAAAAATGGTTTGGGCTATACATATACTTTAATAAACTTTGACTTTATAAAGCCATTGTTGTGGATTTCTTTATTTAATATTACTGTCTGACTGCTATATACTTAGCTTTGTAAGCCTAAAAATTCTCAAACAGGGGCAGACTGAGAACTCATGGGGCCCCCGGGCAATAGGAGATCATGGGGCCCCTGTGTCCTTGCCCAAACTTAAAAAAGCCTATGAAAAAGGTACCAGGGGCATCTGATGGGGCCCCCTACTGACCCCGGGCCCTTGGGCAGTGCCAGAGTTTCCAAATGGTCAGTACGCCCCTGTTCTCAAATGATATCAGGGATGTTTAACCCCCTGGCGGTATTCCCAAGTGTAGCTCGGGGTAAAGTTTCAATACCAAAAGCGGTAACCCCGAGCTACGCTCGGGAATACCCTGCAGCGTTGCTCCTGGATCCCTGTTTCACTTACCTTGTCCATCGCTCCCGCGAGGTCCCCCCTGCAGCATCCCCGGCCATGTCCTCCGGCATCCATCTTCCGGGTTCCATTCCCTGTGAGTGTTGGGACGTATGGGGGCCGGAACCGTCGGGAAATTCAAAAATGTAAAAATGTGATATTCACTCAATACACTAAAATATGATAGTATTCCATTACTGTATCAAAGCATTTCACATACATTTTGTCCCGAGTGCTTTGCCCTGTGCCCTGCCTGCATTTTTACCGTTCTTTCTGCCTGCAAACTGAGAAATGTTCATGGCATCCAAAAAGCGTCCCTTTAGGTCAAAAGCAGTTTTAGACCAGCTAGAGAACAGCGATAGTAAATTAGAACCACTTGCAGAATTGAGTGATAATGATTCGTGGGGAAATTTGTCACCAGACACTGAAAATGATTTTGCGACTGAACTCAGTGATGTGCGAACTTGGCGCTCTATTTCAAATTTCAGTGTTTTTGGTTTGATTACATTATTGAATTAAATTTACTATTATTTTATTATTATTTTTTATGATTATTTATTATATTATAATTTATGGTTTCGTGTTTCAAATTTTATCACACCCGGAATGTTTACTAGACTCTTGTTTGGACAGATTTCAGTGAGTTATTCCGAAGAATTACAGGCCTACAATAAAAAAACAACATATTTCCATGCAAAAAAATGCACCGCTTTGAGCACAGAAATACTGACATAATCAGACCGCTAGGGAGGTTAACATTCCTTGTGCCTATTAAAGCCACATTTAAAGGTCTTCTCTCTTCCTCTAACAGTTCTAAGCCTCACCCACCTGCGATCCTGGTCAAACCAGCTATGGTTATTGTAATCAATAGGCAAAAGCAGACGTCCTGTTGCTGACCCTAGAGAGTGCTACTAAGAACTAAAATCCCACATTTCTTTATAATAGGAATGCAGCTGAATGAGATTAAACAAATATTGTTACATTACAAATACAATATGTACATGAATGCTCTAAAATTTGGCATTCTTCTGCAAGTGAACTAGAAATATTCTGTGTTACAGATTGGTTACTGGAATGATATGGATAAGCTTGTTTTGCTACAGCATGAACCATCTTTTAGAAATGACAGTTCCGCCATTGAAAACCGGACAGTCATTGTTACTACAATTCTGGTAAGTCTTTTTCAATATAAATAAACTTTAATGTGTACATTTTGTCACATTTAATGGAAAGAAACATAAATATACATTATATGTTTTAAGTGTAAAAGTATTTGATACCTATACTCCAAATTTACAATTTAAAAAATATGTAAAATAGTTGAATGTATATTTATGTTTTATATAATTCAGTTAATGAACTGAATTTTATATCTTTCGGTGAAAAAAATAATAAATATGACTATTTTATGATTTCCAACAAAATATGTAACATTTAGGTAACTCTGTGTTGCATTAAAAGATCATTGTACTGATTAGCTGAAAATTCAAATATTGTTTCATAAAATTCGCTAAAATTGTTTTGATGCGTTTCAAAATCTGAGACCCAGTTATGTTGCAGTAGTGATTTTCAATATTTCTATTTCATTAATAGAAACACCATTTCATATAGCCTGCGCACACTTTAATCAACCTGAAAAACATTTTTATTTTCTAAAAAGTATTTATTTTCCTCATATACTTACCTTGTATCACTTGTTCAATAGAAAAAATGCTTATTGACATTTAATATTACATTTATAATACAGAATATGTTGCTTATGTACTTTTTCCAAAGTTAAATTAGTTACACATTGTGCTTTAATGAAGGGTGAAACTCTTGGTTTTATTTTTTTTTTCTTATTTTAAGTAATCAAATATTAATACAGCAAAAAAATACAGTTTTTTTGTTTTGTAAACTTCAATAATTTTTGTACCATAAGTGAAAAATTATTGATATCCACATGCTACTGTAAATTAATTTAAGAAGCTAATTTTGAAATTACTGCAGTGCATTTTCCCATCCATACGCAGCGCACAAAAAGCCTAGACAGACTAATTTTTTTTGCTGTGGAACCGTAGAACATAAATCACCTTTCTTTACTGCACAGTAATATCAAGCGTATTTGTCAGCCTCAAAAGTCAGACATGCCCTTTAAATCTGTTGTCAACACAGGCAAGTGTAGGGTGACCTTTATTTGTCTGGACTTTCCAGTACATTTCTCTGAACTTTTCACCTGCTCTGTTACACTTGGTTTAAAAAGAATACATTTATAAAACAATCTTAAATGGGAATAATGTGTTTAAGTTGTTTTTTTTTTTCTTGTTTTCTTTTTGGCTGTGGGTGTTGAACACATAAAACACAAATGCATATTTTTTCATAATCTAATAATTCCGCTGTTACAGGATTATTGTACACAGTTCTATGTACAGGGAGATAGACTACTTATGCATGATAAATTATACACTCTGAGCTGTTTGTACATTGCATTTTTTCCTAAAAGATTCAGTAATGGGAAATCATACTTCAGTACAGTCCTCCTCTTTTCAGCCTCTGATGAAGAATCCTATTTTAAGAAATTGATCAAGAAAGAACATTTTCAAGACCCAGCGACCATTCCTTGCTATGGCTCAAGTAAAATTCAACAATGTAGTCAAAGTAGTGAACTTTTTTTTTCACAGTCTGTAATGTGGATTAATATCCTTCTGACTTCATAATATCCATCACACTACTCATGAAATGCCTTGAGATATATTTAAATACGTTAGTACTGAAAGATTGTACAACTGCTCCCCAAAGTTATCCAATAAAAAATGAATTGTAACACTGGAGGCTTCCTGAAAGACATCATTATACAGTTAAAAGATAGCTTTTCATGTGGGAATAGTATGCCAAATTAAAAACTACTTTTGGTCATATGTATAACATTTAAATTTAAAATACACAGTTTTCCCTACATTTTTATGCCGTTAAAATAATCTAAATTTAGTAGCATTTTGTAAAATTATTTTAAAAAATATCCTTAATACTATATTCTATACATTTTACTATACAAATATAATATACAAATAATAATTCTGCTGACAAAAATATATAGTTTATAATGTCTACTTAATTGTGACAACACATGTTTTACTATTTACTTGCTGTCGTGTTGTTTTAGCTTTTCATTTTGTATATTATGATGTTTTTTGCTATGTATTGCCTGCTGCTGTGGCTTTACTTTTCATATTTTAACAAACTTGCACAAGTGATGTTTTATGGAAGTGTATAATATTGGTTCAGCATTCTCAATAAATAGATTTTTTTGCTTTAAAATGCTTTATGAAAAGTGTTAGATTTCACTGCTGACTTTAAATATGTACAGTGGTGCCCCTTGTATGTTTGAAAGAATTCCACAACCGGCAGTTTTACTCACAAGTTCACCTTATTGAACCATTATTTGGATCAAAAGGTTTTTTTTCAGAACTGCTAAGACTCTCTGGATTTCTAAAAAAAAAGTAACAATATTTATCAAAAGTAAATAATAATACATTTTTTCACATAAGAAATATCTGACTTTACCTTATCAAGTTAATGCTTTATTTAAAATAAACTTACTGTATTTCTATTAGATGATTTTCTTTGGCATTTTTATGTACTTATTTCTCTTTAACAGCCCTACATTAGATATATAAAGTGTGACAATTTTGTGCTTTACAGATATATAATTCTTTTACCTGCAAGGATGTATAATGCAAAGAATTGCAGCAATCAGCTGAACAAAGTAAAGACCCCAACTGAATTAATTTTTTTACACATTACATTTTTTAATCCCATAACTTAACATTTTCAGGTATAAGCATTAAAAGTTTTGCATTAACCCAACACTCAACCTTGTCTCCTTACTTTACATGTTGCTTAACCACTTGCCTACCGGACACTTTTACCCCCCTTCCTGCCCAGGCCAATTTTCAGCTTTCAGCGCTGTCGCACTTTGAATGACAATTGCGCAGTCATGCAACGCTGTACCCATATGACATTTTTATAATTTTTTCACACAAATAGAGATTCTTTTTGTTGGTATTTAATCGCCATTAAGTGTTTTATTTTTTTGCATTATAAACAAAAAAAGAGCAAAAAATTTTAAAAAAAAGTTTTTCTTTGTATCTATTATGAAATTTTGCAAACAGGTAATTTTTCTCTTTCACTGAAGTGCGTTGGTGAGACTGCACTGATAGGCAGCACTGATAGGTAGCACTGATAGGCAGTACTGATGAGGTGGCACAGATAGGCAGCACTGATGGGCACTGATAGGCTGCATTGATGAGGTGGCACTGATGAGGCGGCACTGGTGGGCATTGATGAGGAGGCAATGATGATGCTGCACTGATATGCAGCAATAATGGTCACTGATAGGCGGCACTAATAGGTGGCACTGATGGGAGACACTGGCGAGCGGCGGTGACTGATGGCACTGACCAACAGCACTGAATGGTAGCACTGACTGGGGGCACTGCTGAGCACTGATGGGTGGCACTGATGGGCACGACTGCTGGGCAGCACTGATGGGCAGTACTGCTGGGCACTGGTGGGTGGCACTTTTGGGTGGCACTGCAGGGCAGTGATCATCAGGGCACTGATCATCAGTGCTGATCTGCTCTGTGACAGTTGCCAGTTATCGGCAGTACTTTCCTCTCGCTGTGACAGCGGGAGGAAAGTGCTGCCGATAGCCGGCAACTGTATTTACTCCATGATATGGTAAAAGGCCGCTGTGATTGGCCTGTTGCCTTATCACGTGATTAGCTGTCCGTAGGACACGGCAATCACAGAGATCGCTCGGTGCGCACTGCTGGGGGGGCGCAGGAGGGCCATATGACGCCCTCTCAGAACTGGACAACCGCGCTGTATCTGTCATTTGGCTATAGCACGGTTAGCAAGTGGTTAAATTGTAACTAAAGGCAAAAAGTAAAAAATGTATATATATATATCAATTAGGGATGTATTGCTTCCAGTGAAGATCTTCTGTGAGAGTTCTAATTTATCTGTGTCATGATATAGCAAGAAGTAGTTGGTCACGTTCAACTAGACATCTTCGAGTGTAAAGCTGAAGATGTTTCACAGCTTCTCCAAGCCGCTTCTTAGGTTTTAATGAGGGTCAAGAACTTACCACAGTCTTTATAGGCACATAGGTAACTCAGTCACCTTGATCCAATCACATTGGAATGTCTCAAGGCATGCTGATTGTCCAAAAACAGGATTGGAAGTGTGAAATATGTGGACCTACCCTGTTAAAATTACTAAATTCCATCCTTCAATGTCAGGAAGTGCATAAGAGGTGTTAATTTTTGAGTTTACATGTATGAAGGTGTGATTTGTTGTCACATTTGGATAGTGAAGACAGTTGGTCTGGTTCATAAATCACAAGAGATATGAAAGAGGCCATTTCTGTTAAACTGAAATAACCATCCGTAAACAGGGGTGGGGACCTTTAACATATTTAATGCCATTTTAACATCCCTACCCTGGAGATTTGACAACAATTTATACCTTCAGCAATGTAAATCCAAGAAATATCACCTTTCAAAGACTTACTAACACACGGAATGGCATTATGTAATTAGAACAGTGTCCCTGATACCAATTATAACTGAAGAAGCAAGAAGAAGCTTGGATAAGCTGCAAAATGTCATGAGCATTGCCGAACAAGGCCAGTTGAATGTGACTAACTACCACTATCTTCTAATGGGGACAAAAGGGAAATTCCCTTTTTTGTAGAATTGTTTTCTTTCTTCTACTAGACAGAAAGTGAATGTAAATCTCCCCAGTGGGACTCAGACCAAGAAAAGAAAAACCTTACCCTAATGTAACCAAAAAAAAAATGTTTTGGCTTTAGATATAATTTAAGCCCCATCCACACATTTAATACAGCTCTTAAAAATTTGGATATATCATCTGAACTGCCACGGCAATCCACACAGAACATTTCTACTGTGCAAGTTACAGCTTCATTTGTTATAGCTGTATATGTAAGAAAGTGCAGCGCTAATATATATATATATATATATATATATATATATATATATATATTAATTAGATTCTGTTATAGCTGTACAAGCTTGAAACAAATTCTGATGGTAATAATTAGTGTATAATGCATGCAGATTACTAATATTGAGCAGTGTGTTTTAAGTAGAGTTGTTTGGTATAGGTT